AATATTAAGCAAAGCTAAATTATGATTATAAAATTACAAAAAATGATTTGCACCAGATTTTTGGGGTTGACAGCATTCCCATGGAGTAACTTGTACAGACAGTTAAGCTGGGCAAGTTCGTGTCTCTTTTTAACACAATCCATATTAAAAGATGACACCAATTCAGTGTACGGAATTAGATACATCTATTGCCCGTGTAACCTTGCGAGGCGTGTTTGGCGGGTACTTTGTTTGAATGTTAGCAGAAAATTGTTGAAGGAACGCTTAAGATTTTTTTTAACACGTTACTCTATCTACGTGTCCTTCGCTTCCGTACAGTTAAAAAAAATGTATAGCAAATTTCCTTTGAAATGATTTGAGAGTAACCACGAAATATAAAATAAAGATGTTAATTGCTTTTTATATTATGGATTTTAAGAAATATAATAAATATATTTATTAGTTTCCAGTATTGTTTGTATTTACGGTGATAGTTTCTAAAACGGAAATTATCCTGAACACTTTAATGCGCGTTTTAAAATGTTTCCGACGGCATCCGTTAGAAAGTGCTAGTAGCACAAGTAGTAACTAGCGAATTTTTTTTGCGTTCTACGGTATATACATACCCTGCGATAAACTACAGATGACCAACAGGTTCTTGCAAAATCGTCCAGTAGTCCTAGCTAGTCTCTTCATCTGTCACTACTTCTTGACGCCTCAAGCTTTCACGCGCTTTAAGAAAGTCAGGACCGTATTCGGGGACCACTCTCCCACGTACAAAACCAAAAAAATTAAGACCATATTGGAACGTACCGTTACTATACCTGTAACAACAGTTCAGAAGAGACCGGCGGTGCGAAAATATTGTGAGATATGGATCCAATTTTCCAGGAAAATCCGGAACAAGTAGGTTCTGATCAACTGCCTCATCTCCAAGTTGTGGCCTGTGAATGATTCCAATTCTTATATTATTTTGAATGGGACGCGGAGCTCGATATAGAAATATATTCAAAACATTATAACAATCATGCTGTTTTTATGGAAACGACCACGGCGGCAGACCTAAGCTTGCTATTTTTTAAATAATTTTTTTTAATTTTAGGCATTGCAAAATGATCGATAGCAATTCGAATTTTGAGCGTTAGTGTCCTCAGACTTCAGAGACGAAAATAATTGTTTTCCCAGTTCCTCTTGATATAGTCCGTAGTTGGTATGTTTTAATGGTAAGCAACGCCGATGGACAAGATTATTTTGCAATGTGGATCGGCTCAACGCTGCCATAATATTGTCAAATGGATGATGGGAACTAAACGGCCGATGAAAATTAATATTCCCAAAGCAACTGTAGTAGTGGCCTGAATTTTGTTTCAATTGTAAGCATTGTGCTGGTACTTATACCCTATTATATAATATCTATGCTAATACGAAAAATCTACGGAGCAAACGAAACCCAATATTGACGTTTTAATAATCTTGATAGCATCTTAAAAAGTACACTTTATTACGGTCACAACGAACCAAAAATGTAATCTTTAATTTATATCGGGAAGAAATCTAATGGACAAAAAATAATTCTAAACACCAAATTTGACATTCAAAATATCCGTTTACAATTTTATCGATTGAAGATTGAAATTAATATAAATAATATCCTTCTGCATATTTACAAAATACGTGAAATAGCTTGTAAATTTCGCACTTTATATTTACTATTATTAGACGATGTGGGTAGACGGTTATATATTCAACGTAATGTAATATACGTTAGCGAGTCGAGGATATTAAGAATTATTTGATGTGATGTCTTCCTTATGTACCTATTTAACTATTATATTCTACCTACTTCTCCCCCAGAAAATCTGTTGCATTGTAGGAATATATTCTGTTCGGACCCCCGCTGGCTACCTTGAAGTGATAATATAGTTTTTACAGCGCTCGAACAGCCTAGGAGTGGCAAGTCTGTTGTACGAGCATTAAAATATTTAATTTCCATTTAATCGAGATTTTACATCAATAAAAAACGCATAAATTGTCTTGATATATGTGACTTTTGGTTTGTGTACTACCTGTTCAAATACGCACGAAAGTATTCTTTATTGATATATTAACATACTTCACTTGCTTGCAGCATATATAATCGCGTCTGAAAGGGGACAGTTTTTTTTTGTAACCAATTTATACGAATTTATTACCACAAATCCTTATTGGTTATAAATCAAAACGAATGATAATGATAATGTAAATTATACAGCAATTCTAATTAACATCGAAATTAAGAAGGAATGAGGTCTTTGAAACCATAAATATAATTCTATTAATGTTTAACGTGTATTAGAGATTTATTTTAATTTAACCATGCATAATTTACATAAATATTCATACGTCCGTTTATATCAAAACCAACACAAAGTTCACACCATCTTGGGCATCGAAAAAATTGTATTTCATAAATAATATCAACACTATACCAAATACAACTTGAAAGATGACTGTGATTAGGTCGAACAAATTTTATTTGAAGCTATTGGTTGATGGTAAGTTTAGGCGGTGAATCGACATCGGTTCCGATGCAAATTGGTATTAGAGAACAGGTTTTAAGAAAGAACGAGTAATACAAAAACAATCATATTTTTAATACCTACTCATTTAAAACGTAATGAGTTTTAGTAAGATTCAAGATCAGTGTTCAAGCACATTATTTAAGACCCTGCACCTACAGAAAATGTTTCATAGAATAATAACGCTCAAAAGTGAAACAAATGGGTCTTAAATCCCATTTTAAGTAACTACGGCAACATTGTTATATTTCCATGCATCACACCTAACTAGAAGCCTAGAAATTTAATAGAAAATTGAAGGACAACTCCCTTACGTTAAAGAAAATCTCGAAGAAAATTGTAATATCACACGATTAAATGCAAAAAATTAAGGTAGGTAAATATAAACAAATCAAACAAATTTTACAAACTTTGGCGCTTTGGCACTTCACTTATGACGGCCATGCACGTAACCAAATCCCAAATTATAATTTTTTCATAACTAATTCCCGCCTTGCACTCAAAAAAAGTGGGATGCATATCTTTCATCCCATTTAATCTAAATCCTTGCAATTGCGACTATTTCACCAACATATTCTGAATGTGATGACAACTTCAACCACTTAAATTACACATCCAAATTTGAAATCCTGTCTTAATTTGAGTTTTCCTTCAACTTTAACAATCTCGTGTTACCGTCCACAGTTTAAAGTCAAATGAACGTGTAAACAAATATAGCAAACGAGCTGCTGGCCCTGGGTATGGCTATAACAAGCGCAAAACCATATTTTATACTCCCGCCTATGTATCCGATTTCATTTAAATACCTTCATAACTAAAAAAAGCGTTAAGTTAAGCCTTTCGTTTTGACCTACATTACCAATTCAAGAACTTCGAGATCCGATCTACAAATTTGATAAAGAATCCACCTACAAAATTTAATCGTGATCGGTCCATTCGTTATCGAGATATCGTGCTAACGGACAGACGGACAGACCGCAAAATTATAAACTCGATAGGAGCTCGTTAATAATGGCTTTCTCTTATCTACACCAGTGATGTCTATTTTCTCAAATTCTAATCAAAGGGAAGTACGTTTCAGATTAAGTTACACATTGTCTACACAAGTGGTAACAAAAACCACAGGTTGCCGATTTTGATTTTTCTTTTCAAATTTCAGTTTTGGATCACGTTGCAGCATTTCCAACAACTACACGATTTTAACTTTTTTATCTATTACTGCCCGAGTTGAAAATAGAAGGTTAAAATATTTGATTTAAAGTAAGGTGCAGTGAATCCGCCGTTTGCAACCGTCCCCGCCAAGATATTTCAATTATTTTTGTTGGGCCCGAAAGCTCTTGTCATTTAGAAGAATTATTAATATTTTAGAATTTCAGACACGTTAAACCATATTTGCAAGTTTTTGTTTCCTATGGTAATTTAAAACAGGCATAAAAACTGCAAAGCCGTGCAGGTTTACGCCGCTACCAGGTTGATAAGAGACCGATAGGCCGACATGACAAATTCCAATGGACAATAGGACTACCGATTTTAAATATTTCAATCCGGCCAATTGAGTAAGTGAAATTAATAGTAGCTAAATAAATGTGTTGCAGTAAAGATCATCCCGCATAGTCATGTGGGGTATCAAAAGAAACGCTCTTAATGAAATTAAATGCTAAGACTCATTACAGGGTGGAAAAACCGTCGATCCCTCCATGGGATAGCCGAATTTTATAAAAGGTAAAGCAATTGTTTCGAGGAGATCTTTCTGCCTTTTGCATCTTTGCAACTTACGTTTGTAAGTACCGGAATTTTTGAGATTTTTTTTGTTTTTGGCGTTTAACCGAGTACCTAATATGTTTATATTTGATTATTTACAAATTACGTTTCGTATGTACCGTAATTTTGAGCTTTTCCTTACATTTATTTTGCATTCATATCGTTTAATTTTTGCTTTTACATAAGTTTATGGCACTTTTGCTTTTTCTTGCACAGTAATCTATACCGCTGGGTTTAATTACAAGGTAAGTTTTTTGTTACTTTCCGTTGCATTAATTATAAAAGGAGGCTTCGCTTTCCTTCATTTGCTATTCCGTAGATACCGCTACCGAATCCTATTATTTACTTTTCCCGATTAGGGAAATTGCAGCGCGCTTTAACTTTGTTTTAGCATTTAGCAACACATCTGCATGTGTTAGTCATGACCTCCCTCGCTACCGGGCAAAGTGGCAAGTTCCATGTCGCTTAGCATAGGTACATTCCTGCATAAATGTGTAAATTCCCAAAACAATCTGGAAACTTTGCACTTTGTATCCATTTGTTGTGTAAATTAATTAAAAAGAAATTGATCCATGGGTAAGATAACCGTCACTAAATTCATATCTATATACTCTCAAAGGTGTCTTACCTAATGACACAGATAAAAATACCCATATTATCTGTGCTAATGAATAATGATAAGCAAACACAATGGAAAATCGGAACATTTTCTAACAGATTAGATTATTCGTTGAAATCCAAATATAGGGTTGCTGGTGATATATTGCAAATAAACACTTAATTTACTTTCGTAAATCACGAAAAACCTACAAAAGATAAGGCAGGTATAAAAGCAGGAAGCAAATTGTTATCCACAGTTCATTCAAAATGAAGTTGTTAGCTATTACAGTCGTCTGCCTTGCCGTTGCCTGCAATGCTCAAAGTAAGTTCTTCTGTATAGATTTTAACAAATTGATGTGAATTTTTTCAGAATATAAGCGTTGCCGCGCCGAAAAATGCGACGAATCGACGATCTAGAGGTACAAAGACAACAGTTGATCAAGTTTCCTTTCGGGTGTCTCAATTCGTCCCCAGGACAAATTTAACAAGTGCACCAAACAAATTGAGGTACGCCACGATAAGGGATGCGATAAATGCGACGATGCCGCACTGAAGAACAGCATTGATCAACTTCAAAAAATTAACTTCAAATGCTTCCGCACAAGATTCTTGGGCTACTTCAACGATCAACTCGGCTCAAACGATTGGGATAACGATAAATGTCCGGGGCCCAAATTGAATAAGTACTTCCAAGATGCTTATGACAACCTTCCAGACGTTTAAATACAGTTTCCATTAAACATTAATTTTATCTCTCATTGTATTCTAATTAAAGGTCTCAACGAAAGGAACCTTTTTTTCTGTCTTATCAAAGTACGGCGTGGAGGGGGAGTAGAACTAGTTTTATCCTTCATGGCCATGCTGGTACTCTAATGAAAGGTCTCAACGAATGGAATTAATTTCTACCAACCATAGCCCTCCTCCTCGACCTCTTATCGTGATCGGGTATATTCCCTTCTATCTCAAGAACGGATTGTCGGAAGAGGTACTCACAAAGGGCGATTGAGAAATATATCCATTGGTGATGTCATAACAAAAGCTATTTCGGTTAAAAAAAATGCGCTTTATCTGCACAAGCGCTGTGCACAATTTATACGTGTTTCTACTTTATTTCCTAGCCCAAATGTCTTCCGTGCGCTGTCCCAGTTTCCGAAATTTCACATTCATATTATACCTACCACCAATGTTTCTTTGTAATCGTTTCTCTAACCCATTTTTGTTCATTTGGATTTCTACAGTCTCTTATACAGGCTGTTTCAAAAAAAAGATCCGATATTTTATTCCCGTATAGTACTCATATAAACTAAGTGAGATACAGAGTTGATTTTCTGCCTTCATGTAGTACATTTGACTTAAGTGCTCGAATTGTGTGCAAATGGAAGGAGGACACATAAAGCATCCTTTTAAAGTATTTTAATTTTTACGTATTAAGAAACTTCACTGTTCGTTTGTTTTTTATAATGTAATTTGTTGAAGAGATATAAATAATTAATACACATAAATTAAGACACAACATTACCTCTTATCTCTGAAACACTTAATTTAGGGACCTGTGTTTATTAAGACTTTGGCTTCTTCTGATGAGTACTGTTGAGGCCTACGATACTTAGGTACAGGCCGGAGTTAAAAGTTAAGGACACATTAAATACGTTACGGCTTATGTCTATAACGGATTTTCTAATCCGTGCGCGGCTCCACTATTTATTTTTTAGTCCGGATCCGTTTAGCACATAGCCCGAAATTACAATGAGAGCTGGTCAATGGTACAGGCAATTAAATTATGGTGACGCCACCAAACAAAACGTTTGGGTGCAGGAAAAGGTAACCATCACTCTCAAGTGCTGGCCAAGGATCAAGGAAATGGAAAAACTGAATACAATTAAATCTAACACTATTTTTAAAATTTGGTTTTGCGCATGCGCAATGGCAACTTTCTTATTTATGAAAGCAGTTAAACGAAATATCATATGTAGGCGCCTTGAATGAAACTAAAACTAATACCGGTTTCAAAATTACTGTTAACGCATGCTGTATGTTTTAGTTATGAAGGTATTCAATGAAATTTCTAATGTAGATAATGCGCAATGCTATTTACGAAAGCGTTTATAAACAGTTCCATATGTAGACACTTCAAATAAAAGTAAAACTAATGCCAATTTGAAAATTTGTATGTATTTGTATACGCTCCACTATTTTTCATTAAACTGTATAGACTTCAACGGTAGGCGGCTCATTTGAAAGAGAATGGGGTAAGAATCTCGTGCTTACCGGTATTTTTTTCTGGTCTTAGCATTAATAAGGAGGAAAAAACGCTCTCGTCATTTATGTTTGCATAATGACTTTTTAAACTTGTATCTTAATATGGAGATGTAATTAGAAACTACAAACTACCCTTATTTTTCAGTGTGTAATCCAACGCTAATCAGAAAAAGGGGGTTCTCAGTTAAAAAAGTTTTCGCATTTTAAAAACTGCAAGATGCCTTACTGCTACATCAACAGTTACTACATTTATGAGGTACGGCATATGCAACAGACGTAAGAAAAAAATATAAATTATGACACTTCATTGAGATTAATGAAGAAGACAACTTCTGATATAACCGGAAATGGTACAGAATTTTATGCAGCAAGCGGTCTCATTACAAGAAATCACATCTACAGTCGATTACGTACTTGCTACCACAAACCATCTAATTGCTCTGGGAGGTTTTGCTTAATTCACAAGCAGGATCATGTTGTGTTAATTAGGTACTATACAAATAACAAGTAACCGTTATTGCGCTAATTTAAATTACGGATTAGCTATAGGTACTTGTGCATAAGTAAAGAATAATTGCCCACGGATTTTCGCTTCCTGTCCCTAAAAAAAACGAAGGGGAAAAATTTAAATTTTTTTCTAGCGACTAGAATGATTCGTTTATAACTTATCATTGTGCAGAAATAATGAGCAAAAATGATTCGCTAAGCAGAACTACTATACCAAATGTGTTCAATAGTAATTAATTAACGTTTATTGATCTCCTGTCATGTCAGCTATTTAAAATGTTACAGGAAAGTTTCTTAAGTTAATTTACAACTGATTGTACTTTTTAATCTGATTCCACTTGTGCCTACCTATCTCAATAGTACAATTTCCTAAAGGCAGTAACCGTTTACTGATAATTACCAGAAAGTTTAACAAACTGACAGTTCCATTTATAATTTATTATCTTTGTATAACTGCCATTTAAAAAGATTTATTATTTAACTTACTCCAATTTATATAAATGATAATTAATTACACCAACCTTACAGTCATGCTTTTTTCCTCGCACTTTGCGGCAAGAACTCTGCTCGCGTGTGTTACATATCATATCTACCTACGTTATTAATACCTAGAGGCATTACCTTAGTTGAACAAGTTTCAAACACAAAAAACCGAGGTAAGTACTTCGGCTGTAAACACGAATGCTAATTGTTTTACCATTAGCCTAATTTCTAGAAAATGAAACGTCACCAATTATTAACGAAAAAAGGCAAAAAATAAAAAATAATGAATTTGAACATTAGTGAGAATAAGTTATTAAGGACTTGAAGAACCGTTTAGATGAAAGTGAATCAAAATAACTTAATAAGGAATTTTAAAAAATTGCCACAATTGCGCTGTAAGAAAAAACCTTCAAGTGGGTTATTACAAGTACCATATTGATTTCAATAAAAATGGCAAAACATAACAGATCACTTTTAATGAAAGTGCTATTTTGATGAAACCAGGAACTGGTTCAAATTAGTACAAAATCAATCATCAAGTTTTCGATTTGTTTATTTACTAGTAGTCCCGGCGAACTTCGTACCACTTTTGGGAAATTCCGTTTTTTTTTCCGTACCGGGAAAGCTCTTTCAGATCACACCTTCCATGAGACCTACGTTCTAAATATCAAGTCTCTTTTTTACTGAAAAAGTAAAATCCTTTTTTTTTCCCGTTCCCCTGGGAATTTCGCAAGTATTTTACTAACTCAGAAACTTTCGCGGACATACGTCCAATCATTCCCCAATGGTTTATGGCAATATAAATAGGCATGAGAAACAGACAGATAGACAAGCATTCACTTTTATTTATCTAGATAATAGCAGATTCGGCGAACGTTGTATTTCCTGTCCCAGCAAACCTCATATATAGGACATGCATATTTTCATACAAAGCCATTACAGTGTGCACATTTTAATTTATTTGAGGTTTTATGGATTAAGAGATGCCGTTTCAGGACATGGTGGTGATGTGTTGCAAATTCACACTGTGCACATTTTAAGTCCTTTGAAGGGTTGCGTGTTAAGAGATGTCGTTTCAGAACATGTTGAAAATTTGTTGCAAAATTGAAATGTGTACACCTTAAATCTATTGAAGTAATTATTTTTAAGCGGCAAGAGTTTATTGGTCATTCATTATTACACTCTGCGTGGTTGACTGTTAGTCGAAATCGCGAATAACCTCTATACCTATCACTTTTAATTTAATAAAAATAAATAAATAAATAAATAAATAAATAAATAAATAAATAAATAAATAAATAAATAAATAAATAAATAAATAAATAAATAAATAAATAAATAAATAAATAAATAAATAAATAAATAAATAAAGGTTTTATGGTACAAGGTCGTGGCCCGGGATTTTCCTGTGGTGTAAATAAGAAGTAGCCTTGTTTGTGGTGCAAGGTCGTTCAAAACGAAAAAAAAAGGTGACTGTAATGAGATTCTCAGTTGTTAGATATATGCAATTTCTTCATATTATAATTATTGCAAAGAAAAATTAGTGAAATGTTGAATAGGTATAATAGGTAAGGGTGCTTTACTTCCGTATAAGTTAAAAAATCCGAGTGAAAAGGAAGCGGGGGAGGAAAGAAATGCAGTACTGCAAACCGAAGCTACCCTTAAAAAAATTTCAAATTTTGTAAAATTTTACAAAAAAGAAAAGCTAAGCGTACAATTCAAAACAAAAAAGGCTTTCGGATGTGAACTGCAATCCGTACCTTTAATTATACTATGGTTATTGAGATCAGTCGTAAAAAAGTGTGGAATGCGGAAACGGGAAAAGAGTTAAAATCGAAACTTCTGATACAGCGCTCAAAGCAAAAGAGGAGGTCCATTTGGGAAGTCATTGTGTTATAATAGCACCGTTTTATGCAAATGCAATATCGAAAATTAGGCATTCTCCCGCTGATGTAAGTCGACACGAACCCAAAAATATATTAATATGTTAATCTTCAGAAAATAATGATCACATGAACGCTACAAAATGTTATAAAACTGATTATTAATGATCCGTGCCTCAGAATAACGACTTTATAATTAATTGATATGTAAGACTGATAAACTTCAATTTTTATTACTAATACAGTTATTGGATGGAAGCCGTTCATATAGATATCTCGTTATGTTTGTAAGCAGTGAGGAAAAGAGCAGTACCCACTTATTTTACTGTGTTGTAAAAATGATTGTGCGATTGCCTAAAGTTGATAGGTTGAAGATAATTATGTAAATAAGGTCGTGATTATATAATTACCATGAAATATCAATTAATGTGTCAGTGTATAATATGAACGTTTATAGTATTAGGCACCTAACTAAAGATAAATAAAAATTATCCTAGCGACTTTTATTGAAGTTAAATTTGAGAACATATTCAAAATAGAATAATTTTTGTGCTACATAATTTTTAGCGCCGCCGTACCGACGCAGCAGGCGTTCGTCCTAACGAACTCCTGCTGAGTTTTAAACATCTGTCGCTATGGTATCCTAGTTGGTAGA